ATTTTTTACGTGGAATATTATTATAAATAAATTGGATCGTAATTTCACTTTCATTCTGTTTGAGCCAGTAGGCAGAGTATTTTGTAAATCTAGACTATCCTAGCGCAGTGGTAGACCGAAGCCACCTGCGATAGTGTAAGCTGTTAGCTAGGAGGCGTTGGCTGTCCTTTGCCAGGATGTATGCATGACTTCAGTTCGAATATTCCGTAAACTGTGCTCTGCTGCTATATACCTGCGGTTAAGTCGGAGAAAGAGGGTGGAATAAAGCAAACGGTATTGGGCCGATATTGACAGGTCTCGTGAAGCTGCAGTTACGTGTTTGGAGCGCTCTAGTAGTATAATTTAGCAACAATTTGGACATAAACGTTGCAAGCAAGTGCTACCAGATAGCTCCAACAATGGCTTTACGCACACGGCAACAGTGAGGTGAGCAAGGGCTACGAGCGCAATATTTATTTGAGCCATAAGGGGTTAAAATTTTTCGAGGGAGCAAAGGAACAATAATATAAGTGGAGAGGATGAGGAGTAGAAGAATGACAAAAAGAGGAAGAAAGAGGAAGGATTAGAAGAATAAGAAGAAAGAAGAGATGGAGAAGAAGAAAACGATAATAAATAAGAATAAGAATGGAAAGAGAAGAAAAAATGACACGCAGAAGGAAATGGGAGTGAAGAAGGGAGAAGCAGGAGATAATGAAGGAGACGAAAGAACAGAAAAATGAAATAAAAGAGAACCAAAATAAAACTGTTGACTTAGTTCAATACTGTACGCTTTGTATTCACTTAACGAATCATGTATGTATCCTTATTTCGCTAACAAAGGCCCAGTACGGTAGAAACATAAGGTATAGTTCCGAAAAATAAATTTAGTAGGTAACTGCAAATCCTGTCGTTTGTCAATTGTATTAGGCAACCCACGTGACACCTATATGTTTAGTAGAAGAAAAAGAAATACTACGAGATTTCAGAAAAACATGTGTTGAACCCTTAATGAATGAGGGGAAACGTGGATAGTGAGTTATGCTAAGAAATAATGTACATATGTCGTACAACAATCGAAATATTTACATTTTATTATACTGTAAACGATTACAAGAGCATGAAACTCGTGTAAATAGAACTAAAAAAGTATTTGAGAAACCGAAGCAGAACGCAATTTAACAATTCTAAAGGTTTCCGCTTCTTTTGAGGCATAAGTTCAATATGTGCCTCATCATTGGCAATACGTAGACCCTGCGTTTACTGAGTTGGTATTTGAAAGCATTGGGAAGACGCATTTCAGTGTCACTATTAGGTGACCGAAAAATTGAGAAAATGTCTTTTTGACACCGATAGGTAGCAGCTAGCAAAGGTTTGGGCGGTACCAAAAAACTAGAACAGACTAAAGAGAATAAAAAACTAATTAATGCGAGAAAGCCTGTGCCGTTCTGTAACAAAACTAATTTTTAGTATTTATTTGATAAGAGGTGGCATCACTACGGTTTTCCCTGAGACATATCCAAAACAAAACTCTTTGATGGTCAAGACAACACTCACGAATTTCCAAAAAACTTTATTGGAAAAGTGAGGCATGGTAACCCCGAGACAGGTCCGGCGGATAATGTGGGTATGGTGAGTAACTATACCCACACGAAAAATTCCGAGTGGGTAAAACACTCGGATGAAGTTTTTCGGTATTGCATCGTCTCACACCGATTATGCTACCAACTACGTTGCAAGATCGCATTACGATTTTAAATGTTTATAGCGACATGATCGACAAAATCGATTTGTAAAAATTGTTAAATTAGTTTATATCAAAGAATTCAAAGTGCAGCGCTGTTTTTCCATTGAAAAAATGAACAGCCGTAGTTATATAAAAATAAATAGGATAACAACATAATTATAAACATGACAATTTGAAAAAAATGTTTTTTTCCTTTCGTACTCATTTTTAGTGGGAGATGGAGGGGGAGGAACCCCACGCGGGACAACTTCCCACTCGGACTCTCCACCGATCGCTGGCTGTGTCGCGAGGGTCCCCGACTATGAGAGGACTAACTGTCCAACTAGATCGGCCGCCAAGCGTTATTTTTGCCTCTTAACTTCATTCAAAGGGGGAACCTCTTCCTTCAAACTTTATGCACGCCCTGCTAACACGAAAGCGACGAAAGCAAGTGAATAAGCAATCTCTAACCAGAGAATATGCTAGAGCCACCTCGTGGCTCAGAACTAAATTCGCTTGTCTTTCACCAAGGGCCGTTCGATTCCAGAACAATTTCATGTAAAATTTGTTGCGACAAAACGAGCTTGGCTGCTTTTTAGCGGCTTGTCCAACCCCTGTGAGGTGTACTACAGCTTCCTACTGACCTAATTCCTTCTCAATTCTAGCCGATGGGTAGAGGCGCAGGATATTGTGTAAAGAGGCGGAGATGCTACCTGGCGGTCCTCTTCACAACATACTGTCTACACTTACGGATACCTCAGCGTTAAAATCAATAATGTGGTCGCTAATGACCTCAAATAAAACAAAAAAATCTCTACAGCTGGCCAACGACCTCGAGTCTAACCCCTCAGCCCCCTTCTGTGCTTCCCTCCCAAGATTCATTAAAAACCTGAAGAGCACCTGTCGACAGCAACTACTTTGTTCCCGAGATGGATTATCTTGTTGTCCATTAGTATTACATTAACGGGTATAAAATGTTTATATTTCCTTGTAACCTTGTATATATTGTCAACGTTCTCTCAAGGAAATTCATCTTAATTCGACATCGGATTTATTCAGGAGTGATGCCCATTTTTGTTAATAGAAAGAGACACTTTTTGTCGCTTTCCCATTCTGTCACAATACAAGAGGACTTGTTATCTTTCTCAACGATAGAAAATCCTACCTCTGTCTCTTTTTTTACTTTCTAGCTTACGAGTGTAGTCCAAGTATGTGTTGCAGCTCAAAGAACATCGGTGGCGATATTTTGATCTAAATTCGTGTTTTGTTTTGAAATACAATCTGGCTCTTTGTACGTTTGACTGCTTGCCGTTTAAAGGTTTACCTCGATCTACAAGCCCGCACTCAAGGTCCAACCAATTTGAAAACTGTATTCCAATGTTTGGGGTTATTTGGCAAAATGATACGTTCTAGGAGAAACTCCTGTGTATGGGCAGACAGCTGGTTCAGTGGCAGTTTGAGAGACTGAACGGGAGGCTGGAAGGTTAGAGGTCCGACGATGATTTTCGACACAAGCTAAGTAACTTCGTGAATTTTTTCGCGACAGTTTAAAATTATAGAATTCAATATTTTTTTTTCAAACATATTGTAAGTACAATAATTTTGTAATACATTATAGGCATAAAAATATGTACACTTCCTAATATCGCATTGATTTTCAAATAATTTTGCTAGTAAGAAAATTTAATTTCGTTATTTAAATTTTAAATAACTGAAATTTTCATTCATTTAAGAAAATGATACTCAAACATAAATTTTAATGGCGATGGCCAGAGCATACATTGCTCGTCCTTATGGTTCGAATTTAAGATGCCGCTTCAAACCGTTGCAAAGAGGAGCGATTTTGCTGTGTCTACATATTGGATCACAGCATTATGGACCAAGTTTGTCGAGTAATTAACGGCGGATAAAGTCCGTCGCTAATTGGGCGAAGCTCGGAGCCTCGTCAGGACTTTCCGAACTGCAGCGAAAGAGCAGAACTTCCGCTCATCGCTCGCCGGTAGAATTCTTAGCGGCTGCAACGCCCTTCCGGAACAGAGGGCTTAGAGGACCTTAAAGGATAAGTGCACGATCTGCCCGATTATATTTGAAAACCATATGTCACCGGTTTCTTATCAATTAGATGAACAACTGTTTTTATGTCGTTTCTAATGCATCTTTTAGAAACATCAAAAAGACGAAAACAGGATCGTGAAAGTTGTGTCGGAATAATTCTTAATATGATAATCTTGTGTATATAATTTCAAAAACCCAACAGAAAAGCAATTAATAATGTTGACACTGTCAAAAGCAATAACAGCAATAATTTGTGCAGAATTGCATTAGAATTGAGCGAAAAATTGAACCTTACATTGCTCTGCAATATCACGTTTGAAAATTCTGTATTAGATCTCAATGTTCTATGCATAGTACAGCCCTTATTTCATAACATACAGTTATGAAATTATTAACTAGGGTTATTGAATGAGACAAACTGTATCTGCAACAGTAAGTCTTGACAATAAACTGTGTTCTAATGTTTTATAAACATGCCCTTATTCATAATTAACATATTTGTTTTAAGATAAGTTGAAAATAAATTTCTAATCCATTCTTTCAGCTTGAGTCATTTTGCAGATGCGAATGAGTGCCTTTATGAGCTTATATTTATGACCTTTTTTAATATCTTTTAACTATATATCAAACATGTTCATTGAGGTGTATGTTCAGAGGAGCACTGACTGATCAACTTTTTTATATTTTCCACCTTTATTTCATATTGTGGCATGGAGTGTTGTTATGCATAAATATGACCACTCATTTATTTGGAGGAACCAACCTCTAGGTAATGAAGTGACTCCTTATATTATGAATTACGTATACATTTCCAATCACAGATATCAATAACAGATATTACATTTCAAACTCATTTTGTTTGTGCTTTTCAGGACTCATTATAATCCGTTTACTCAAGGAAAAATATGTATTTTAATAATTTAGCCATCGCTGTGTGTGCGTGTGTGTGTCACTAACACTCGAGAATTGTTATCATGATAATATTTAAAGAAAATGTATCATTAACACAAAAATATACGTTTTATTAATTAGAGGGCCATATGAATAAAAGTGAGTATGTTCGTAGTATATAAGAATATACATGAAGAATCAGGATGTAAAACAGGAAAGTAAATGGTAAATAAAAATTGTTGAATTTTGATGAAATATTGTAATATGTTCATCATTAAACATCACTCAAAGTCTCAAGTTTCAATGGCCTTCATACAATTTTATTTGAAATGTTAAAATTAATCTAGCTGTAACATGTATATACCTCTCATAAAGTAATTGAACATGTTGCAACTCTTCCAACAAAATTAATATTTCAATCAGTTACATTAATAAGTTTTAACAATGACATACATTAATAATGAACATACATATTAGTTGTCATTTATAATTTCATTACACTTTCGAATTCAGCGAGTACTCTTGTTTTAAAATTGCTTTGGGGATAAATAAACGATTCTACATAATATGTTTACATGTTTGCTTTTTCACTCATTTACAGCATAGCCTTGAAAACAGACAATATTCATATTCTATGTTGAAAGTTATATTTTCTAACAATATCTAGTTTTCAAAACTTCATGGTCCCACATGACACTTGAATGAATGGAGACAAATATACAGAATGCATTTAACAGTTTGACGACGATAAGTTTGTTCGAGAAGTTTCAAGTACTTCTCGGAATTTACTTCACACGGAGTTTTTCTTTAAACACTTTTAAATATTCTCATAATCACATTCTTCAATGTTGGTAAATCTACAACTAATTTAATAAAAACTTCACATTTTTAAAAATAGTGAATTCATTCACAGTATTATTGCGGTACACAAGATTACATCATTATTTTCACAGTAGATACATATGCGTTTGTTTATGGTACATCAGACCTATCATTGCTTCCTTCATATCACATGCGGAAAGCAGAGAACATTTATTTTCCTATTACACTGGAACTGTTTCTAAAATCTGTCAACATGAATGGTTTTCAAGGTGTTCGGCAAAACGTATTTGCACCACAGCAGCAGTTAAACAAAAGTAGCAGTGGGTTGGCACATAAGTTGAAAACCAAAGTTCCTCTTAACCAGCCTTAGGAGAATGGCCCAGTGAAGTTCAGGTAGCGCATGACATTGACTGCTGCTCAGCACCTGCAAGAGTAAAATGACGTCATTTAAATGCCAGGGGAATAAATTGCGTTAAACACCTGGAATGCAGAATTATTTTAAATGAAATTTATTAGAAAGAGAAAGTCTATGCCATATCATATCACCTCTAGTTTTTATTTTCTTTCACTTGATTGCCCAAATTGCTCATATTTCACCCAAAATTTCCCGAAAACTACTACAGTTTGAAAAAAATGGGCTTGACCTTAATGAAAGATCTAATTATGGAGAACAAAGTTTATTTTAAAAAATCTGTCTTCAACATTGTAATTTTAGGAAAATACCTAATAAAATTCAAACTTTCCCAATTTCCAAATTTTTCCAGACTAGTGAAAAATGGATATATATATATATATATATATA